TAATAATAATAATATATGGATGCACTGATAATCTTGCCTGTTTACGATAATTGTACTGTATGTAAGTGTCTGTGTGTTTCTATGTGTGCGTGTTTGTATGTGTGTTTGTGTGTATATATGCAGGTATGTATGTGTTAATATGTGTACATACATGTGTGTGTGTGTATCTAGATATGATATTAATGATAATAACAGTTAAACAAAGTATATCGCGCATTTTGTATAATTCGGTTGATTTCATATATTTAATATTATTAATTAAAGTTAATTAATTAATTAAATTTAATTAATTGAATAGTTAATTAATCATTCTACAACTATTTCTTTCAGATGTATAAAAGGGTTTTTTTTAATTTCAATAAAGTTATTTTTTTACAACATTAACGAGACGACACCCGAATCAATGTTGACATTCAACCAGTGGTAAAACAGGGTCAAATGTGTGTATTTATGTGTTTGTGTGTATGTATAGGTGTGTTTGTGTGTATAGGTGTGTGCGTGTGTGTAGGTGTGTGCGTGTGTGTAGGTGTGTGCGTGAGTGTATGTGTAGGTGTGTTTACGTGGGTGTATTTTTCGTCAGTGGTATATTCATCAATTTCCTATAGAGATGTGAATATTTCATTCGTTCATTCATACCTATGTACGTACATGATTTTATTTGTTCATTTTGTTTACATTTTTATGCGTACAATTCATTTATCTCAGTGGGATGATTTTTATATAACCATATAGTTAGTTTTTAACATACGTGTGTGTTGTGTGTGTGTGTTGGTGTGTGTGTTGATGTGTGCGTGTGTGTTGGTGTGTGTGTTGGTGTGTGTATTAGGGTATTAGGATGTAAGTTAATCCATATATATGCTCACTCATACATAATCCTGTTTTAGTACTACTACTGCTGCTACGATTACTCTACTTCTACTACTACTACTACTACTACTACTACTACTACTACTACTACTACTACTACTACTATTACTACTACTATTACTACTACCGTATACTACTACTACTACTACATAGATGGTTTGGTGATAGATGATGAACATGTGTTGGGAATCGTGTGAACGAGCATAAATTTTTACTGGTAGCAGTAGTAATTTTTAACTGAACTTTTTTTTTATACCTGATTGAGTTGACCTTTCTTACTTATTTTATAGAAAATTTATACTTTAAGGCCATTTCAACTCTCATTTAGTTATTTAGTTTTATTTTTTTTTTTAATATTTAAATAATTTTTTATTTGTTTTAATTATGGATTGATTTTATTTCTCGAGCGGTTTTGTTGATAAGATGGTAATAACGAATCTATGCCTGTGTGTGTGCGTGTGTGTTTGTCTTACTTAAGTTCCTTCCCAGTGTCTGAAATTGCTTAACTTTACGCTATAGCTGACTACTACTCGGGGTTTTACGTCTGCTATCGTTAAACAGGTGCGATTAATTCTATTTTTATTTTTTAAATAGTCCACTAAAATCTTTAATTATTTATAATTTCATTCATTCATTCTATCTTTCATTCATTCATTCATTCATTCATTCATTCATTCATTCATTCATTCATTCATTCATTCATTCATTCATTCATTCATTCATTCATTCATTCATTCATTTACTCATTCATTCAGTCAATCAATCATTCATTCATTCATTCTTTAATTTATTCATTTTTTCATTCATTCATTCATGCATTCATTCATTCATTCATTCACTTAGTCAATCATTCATCGGTGCATTTTAATGAATACACCATATAACTAAGTGCACGTAAATAATGACAATTGCGAATAATAATAATAGAAATAAGAATAATAATATTATTATTATTGTTGTTATTATAAATATTATTATTAATGTTCTGAATGGCTTTTACTGCTTCTTCAGACTACCTACCCTCTTGCATCTGAAAAGAGCAGTTGTCTAGTGATAATGTTGATGATAATATTAATAATAATAACAATAATTATATTATGATAAATTATAATGTTAATAATAATAACAGTAATTCAGAAATTTTTATAATTTTTAACATAATTATCATTGATAATTACAGTCTACTATAATTAGTATATATAATATTCCTCAAATGCTAAAACCTTATATGATTACTATCAATTTTTGTTTGTACCTGTTTGTACGTGTGTGTGTGTATGTGGGTGTTTGTGCGTGCGTGTGTGTGCGTGTGCGTGTTAGGAGTGTATGGGTGTTTATATGTGTGACGACACAACTTCATGTTTTTAGTATAAAATGATCTATCTATATCTGTCTTTCTGTCTATCCGTCTATCCGTCTATCTATCAATCAATCTTTGTTTGTATGTGTGTGCTTGTGCGTGCGTGTTTGTAGGACTGTGTACGTATGTATGTGTAATGTGTAAGTATGTATGTGCTAAATGAACTCACGAGCAGGTTTAACCTGTCGTTGATGCAACACAAAGGCATGGCTTGTGTGTAGGTGCTAATTGTTGGTTCTATGAAACTCTTAAATCGTCGCCATCGTCATCATCGTCGTCGTCATCATCACAGATGTTTGTGTCTGTAACATTAAATAGTAGTGACTATACTCAGTTTTAGCTCTACTTAATTAGGTTCAGAACATGTTTCGATTGACGGTTGAAATTGTGAATGAATGAATGCGAGTGGTGAATGATTTGCGTGATTGGATGAATGAATGAGTGAATGAATGAATGAATGTTTTGACTAATTAAAAAACTTCCCTCTATTTTATGTATCTACCTGTTTTACGTTGCTGATTTTGATGTATGAGTAACTTAAAACCATATTAGCTTAGTGTGATCCTTAATTTTTTTTTCTTATTATTTAATTGAACATTTAATTGTCTCTGTTGGAATATTAATTACATACACCCACGTACACACACACACATACATACACGTACGTACACACATACAAATACAAGCATACACACACACATACACACACGTTTTACGAGCATCTGTTGATATATGTGATTTTTCATCGGTTTTATAAGTGAAAAATCTATATCTATATAAAAATCTATATTTCCCTATTATAAGTGAAAAATCTTTGGAGACTACCTGCATTCATTTTTTTTTATTCATTCATTTTTTCATTCATTCATTTATCGATTGATTGATTGATTCATTCATCTATTTATTTATTTATTTATTCATTCATTCATTCATTTATCTTGAAACTAGAATGAAGATAATTGTGATGTCAGCTGTTGATATACTTTAATTGGTTGATTATTTATTATTTAAATAGTTAATTGATTAATTGACAAATTAATTAATTAAGAAATACTCGCAAGTTATAACAGAAGTGTATGTAAGAATTAAGGTATGCGCAAATAATAATTATTGCTAGAGAAACTGTTGAAGGGTTTTTTAGAAACAATCAGTTTTATTCCGAGTTGTTAGCCAAAATGTTAATCTATGTGAATATTTTTTATGCATTCATCCGTTCATTCATTCACTCATTCATTCATCGTTTCATTCATTCACTCATCGATACATTCATTCTTTTACATGCATTTAACAACTCCGAATATTTCAGTTTATTTATTTTGTTTCGAAGTTTTGCCATGCACTGATGGATATGAAGAAAATATTTTGCATTTGTGTGTGTGTGTTTGTACGTGAGTATGCGTTTGTATGTGTGTTTGTGCATGAATATGTGTCTGTATTTGTATATATATATATATATATATATATATATATATATATATATATATATATATATATATATATGTATGGAAATGTGTACCGTGTAGCGTTAAACGTGTATTTTGCGTAAGATTGCGTGCGTGTGTGCTTGAGTATCTGTGCCTGCCTGTGAGATTTTGTGTGTAAGAATGTGTCTGTGTGTGTTTTTGTGTGTGAGCTTTTGTATTTTTGTACATAAACAAATATATTTTTGTATAGTTAGCTTCAGGTTTACTGTTTGTAACGCATAAGTTCAAGTTTTTAGTAGTTTAGTTTGTCTCATTATGTCTTTAGGAGGGCGAAATGTCACAAAAAACGCGGAAAATCACTGTAAAAACCTAAGAAAATGACAATATAATTTAAAAAAATGAATTATTTGAATTGACTTTGTGTACGTGATTAAATATACTTATTTTTTTACAAACATATCTATTAATTTTTTTCTTCTTCTTTTAATGTTCGCTTAAAAATGTTGGTTATATTTAAAAAAAGATACTTAACTATCGAAGGTGACACCACTTTTCTAATACGTTTGTTGCACGCTTATATGTATGCATATGTATGTACTGTACATATGTGTGTGTGTATGTGTATATATATGTGTGTGCATGTTTGTGCGTGTATGTATGTACATTTAACGTGTATACATGAATTAATACAATCTTTTGTATCACTAGTGTGCATTATACTTGCGTATGCACTCTTCAGATATACATGTCCCCAATAATAAATAATTCATTTATGTCAAAGCTCACACACACAACATAAACACACACACACACACACACACACACAAGCACACATATTGACACTATTATTATTATATATAAAACTTACTCAATAATTTACTCTTTTTAATGTACGTGTCGACTAATTATTGCAAGTTACGACCTCATGTGTAAATATGCCAACATACAATGTTATTTATATCATATAATATAGTATACTTATTATTCGTATAATATATATATATATATATATATATGTATATATATATATATATAATATGTGTGTGTTTGTATTTATATATAGTTTTAAGTTTTTTCAGCCACTCATTCATCGCTATGGATGAATGAATGTGACGGACGAATAACGGATGGGCAAACAAACCTCTGTATATCGCTAATACATGGTATTTGTTGTATTGCATACCTTATATATTACACAAATACGTACATATACGTGCGTACATTACAATATGCATATATTAATAAAACGTGTTTTACTCGATTTTTTTTTTCTAGTTTGAATAAACTTTTCAAGACATAGCGTTTTTAACTTATTTTACGAAACGAAATTCATGAAAATAATTAACTTATTTTACAAAATATAATTCATTAGATCATGAAAATAATTAACTTATTTTACAAAACATAATTCATTAATTCATGAAAAAAAGAGGAGGAAAGAAGAAGCAAAGCAAAACACCACTAAAAACTCGCTTGATAACACCGGAATCGAACTATAGTACTTGCACAAATTTGAAGTTTGCAAATGTTAATCTTACGAATTGAATATATACATATATATATTAATTTTCATCATAAATTTCTAATTATATTATTATCATAATTAACTATAGTTTAAAATTTATAATTATAATTAACTATAATTAGACCATACATTCATAATTTCGTAGTTTTACCATCAGAATTAGCTATAACTTGAAATTTATGACCATAATTAACTATAATTTAAAATTTATAGCTATAATTAACAATAATTTAAAATTTATAACCATAATGAACTGTAGTTTAAGATAGTTTTATCACTAGAATTAGCTATAACTTAAAATTTATAACCATAATTAACTATAATTTCAAATTTATAGCCATCATCAACTGTAATTTAAAATTTATATCTCCCTCTTCTAGTGGGACGATCACTGCTACTTCTACAAATTTCATCCAGACCCCTATCCACTTGGATTTCTACGTATTCTCGCCTGTATGTCATACCCTCACTGGACCAACAGTTACGCGGGCACGTGTATACGTAGACAGAGCCGAAATCTACATCTGTGTCGTAATAATATAATAATTATGATAATTATAAGAATAATTACAGTAATTATGAAAATAATTTTAATAATGATAATAATGACCAAATTATTGAGACCATGAGCTCATCATCATACAAAATACAAAGATAGTATAAACACATAGATAAATAAATGAAACAATGGATGAAATAAAAATAGAAATAAAAAACATAGATAGATACAACATACATAGATACAACATAGATAGATACAACATACGTAGATACAACATCCATAGATACAACATCCATAGATACAACATAGATAGAGACAACATACGTAGATACAACATCCATAGATACAACATCCATAGATACAACATCCATAGATACAACGTTCATAGATACAACATACATAGATACAACATACATAGATACACAGCAGGAGAACTTACTTTCAAAAATGGGTGTAGTACGTTTTTCTTCGGTACAAACTACCGCTAGATAATTAATGATGGTGGGAAGTAGCTGTACCTCAAACTCCCTGGAACAACCGCACTCACATTTTGGAATTTCATCGGGTTTTATTGGCTTGTTGTAATATAGGGGTTTGCCTTTGTAGGAGTACCTGTCATTAATTTCAAAATTATTATTATCATTATTATTGATTAATTAATTATTAATTAACTAATTAATTAATTAATTATTGAATTTGAAACAAACAATGGCCATTTAATTTTAAATATTCCACCTTATTGCATTTTATTTTACTCTATCTTATTTATGTTATTTTATCGTGTATATAACAAGAGTCTCCATTATTTAATTATTATTATTATTAATTATTATTATTATTATGATTAGATTGATGATGGCAAATATACCTGATGATTTGTTTGGGATATTTTCTCACCCTTTCAAAAAACTCCTGTTGAATGTCAGACATGTCGTAGAGTTTGAAATCCTCGGAGGAATCCATCGTACATTTGCTACCCAACCCCGAGCTAGATGGCGTGGATTTAAACGACAAAATTTGAAAAATTCAATTCGTAAAACATGGCTATTTATACTCTTTATTAGAGAGTTTTTATCAAATTAGAAAAAAAAATAATTAACAAAAATAGTTTGAAGAGAGATAAAAATAGTATTAACGAGACAGAAATAGTATTTACAATGAAAAACATTTCAAAATCTGAAAAAAATTAATTAAAATACTTGAAGTTTTTTAAATCCTTATCTTCAAAGCACCCTCTCATATTATCACCTTGACCTTCTTTCCAAGAACCACCATCACCACCATCATCGTCGTCAAGATCTTCGTCATCTTCATCGTCATCATCCATTTCTTCAATCACATCTATATACATTGGTTTGAACATTAACCGTTCATGCACTAATTTATCAAAATTAGAAACTTCTTTGGGGTGTGGTTCTCCTACATCACCAATGAGATAATCTTTAAATACACTGGATTTAATAATTTTCTCTGTCTCTGGGTCTGTCATTGTGCTAATTGGTAGGTTTTCCTGCAGTGATAATCTCAACATATCTTCTCCAACAGAATTCATTTGGTGTTCATTTGTTTTTTCTTCACGAGACGGCACTTTTGTACTACCAGTTTCAATATTTATTGAACTATTATTATCTGTCGAGAGAATGTTTCTAGGTGTAGTTGATTTGTTTGTTGTTTGACTTTCTCTAGAATGTGCACCAAATGTTGGCTTGATGGCTGCTACATTATTTAAAACATTATTAGCGTTGGAGTTTAGTGGAAAATTGTCAGAGGTCATCATCGTCGTCGTTGTTGCAGTTTCATCAGCAGGAGCGTCCCAATTCATTGAATCAAAATCAAATTCATTGAAGGCTGAATTAATTTTGACCACAGACTCGGTATGCACCTCTGGGACTTCTGGTTTGTTTGTTTGGCACCTTATAACAGCCCAACTGCAAAAAATAAAACAAATAATTTTATTTTATAAAAAAAAATAAAAAAACTTGTAATAAAGAATAACTAATTCCACTATAACTATAATATTTCCTATTAACTATAACTATTTCTAAATATTTAAATTATTTTATTAGTATTATTATTATCAAATTATTCCTATGATGCCTTTTATTGCACACAAAGGCAATAAATTATAATGTATGGTATTTCTATATATGTTTTGTATTGTATATGTGAATGTATATATGTATATATTAATATTAAAACTTTTATATGTAAAAATTGTTTCAATAGCTAGCTACCTTTTGCATGACTTGTTGCAAACTTCTCGCGGGCAGACAAAAAAGTAGAGAACTCTGTGATTGACAGATCCCTGCATGGGGCAGTACAACTGGCAGATAAACAACATGGAGGTCCCATGGCAGTTGTCGCATTCGATGTCTTTTATTTCCGGGGAATTGTCCAACCAATCCTAATTTTTGATAAAAAGATTTTTATTTTTTTTATGATTTGGTTAGCATTTTCATTTAATTTCATAATTAATTGAAATGTAAACCGCATATATGTGCAAAATGAAAATGTAAAGATAAATAATGAATATGAGTTAAAAATTTAACAAGTATTAATTATTAAATAAATTAAAAAACACAAAACAATAGTATTTAATCAAATAATTAATATTTTATTTTAAATTAATATTTCATTAAAGTTTAACTTTAAATTTAAAGACATGCCATAAAAGCCCATAGATAGGAGGAATTTGATTTGATAGTTACTTACCGGTTTCCCACCAAGCCGATTGATAAAATAGTCAGATGAACTTTCATCGTATCGACTCGACGGATCGCACAACCCAAGCAATGTTCTGATCATTTTTCACTTTTAATAATTCAAATCAATTAAATTCTTAATTAGAAACAGTTAAAGTCAAAAACATGTGGTTGATTTACGTTAAGTTAGCAACGAAGTAATTTGTTAAAAGTAAAAAAGATAACAAATTGTAAATATACCTATGAAATTGTTTTGTGTGATTGCACTTCTGGTTACACATTCAATGGGATGCCTTATGTTGGTCATGAAGAAAATAAAAGAGCATGTAAACATTAGCAGAACCAATCTTCGACTCTGGAGTCAACATGGCAACAGACAATTGGTTTACGAATACAACATAAGCAGAAAATTTGTGGAGAAAACAAACTACACTCCTTGGAACAAGGAGTGTAGTTTGCCATAAGCCTGCCATACAGCCTGGTTTTCCAACAAGTAAAAATTGAGATGTAGGGTCATCTTTGTTTGGTTTCACTCAACGGTAAACTTTAGTTTCATACGTGCCAAAAAAATCTGTTATATTGCAATCTGCTATGCATTCAGATGCTGAAATTGATAATTGACTGGAAAACCAAAGATGATATTAGACTGCAATAAAACGAAAGCGACTGTTGATCGAGTTGATCGACTATGCCACAATTACAGCGTTCAGAAGGGCCATTTTAAAAGCAAATTTTTTGGACCTTTTTTATGGTCGTAATGTGATCTTTTTTTGGTCGAACAAATAAGGCCTCGCGGGCCGCATAAAATGGCTTCGCGATGCCGTTGTTTGCCCAACTCAGACATAGGGCAACAACAACAACATGATAATTTGATACAAACTTTTATATGATATATTAAACACCAAAGATTTTATATGTTTATTAAAGTTATTTAAATTAGGGTAAAAATTCAAAATTTTCATGAAATTTATTACATAACTTTTATTGAACCATAGAATCCTATGTGATTCAATGTTAGTTCGTTCAAGGGGAGGCCTATTTACCATTAAACAACAAAAAAAAAGTAATTAATTACCATATTGAATAACAATTTAAAAAAATAAAATTTTAACATTTTAAATAAAAGCAATATTCCGTAATTAGTAAATATACTATCGTAACTTTTGACTCGAACCTCACCCTTCATCTCCCCTCCAGAAGTAAGCTCCTTGCTCAACCGTTGAAAGTGAGCGAAGGTCGTTATATTTATTCTAGTTATATGTATCAAACAGTATCTTACTGAACAAAATAGTATCATAAAATAAATAAAGATACTTTTTTTTAATATAAAAAATTCTCAATTTGATTTCATTGCGATATCGATGATGATGATGATTGTGACCTGACTAATTAAAAAACATCAAATAAAATTTATAATAAATTATAAATTTGAACTGCGTGCGCACATATGTAGCACTGATTATTGTTGCGTTTATAATGAATTTATATACTATATATATACAAAGCGAGCAAAATTTTAATATAAAAGCGCTTATAAATCTATGCATATTAGCTCAGCTTGGCTCGACTTGGCTCGGCTGGCTTGGAATTGGAAGGTGTGGTCTCAAACTATTTGGAATTTTTGCAGAAAAATTTGAACTGCGTGCGCACATATGTAGCACTGATTACTGTTGCGTTTATAATGAATTTATATACTATATAGTCTATATAAAGCAAGCAAAATTTTAATATAAAAGCGCTTATAACTCTATGCATATTGGCTCAGCTTGGCTCGACTCGGCTTGGAATTGGATGTTAAGCAAGGTGTGGTCTTAAACCATTTGGAATTCTCCAAGAAAAATTTGCGCACATATGTAGCACTGATTACGACTGTTGCGTTTATAAGGAATTTATATACTCTATATATAAAGCGAGCATAATTTTATTATAAAAGCGCTTATAAATCTATGCATAATGGCTCAGCTTAGCTTAACGGCTCGGCTTGGAATCGGATGTTAAGCAAGGTGTGATCTCAAACTATTTTGAACTCTCCCCGAAAATTTTGAACTGCGGCATACATATGTAGCATTGATTACTGTTGCAATTATAATGAATATATATATATATATATATATAAAGTAACTAGAATCCATGTATACAAATAATTAATAAGATTATATGTTTTATATAAAAGCAATATAGCAGATTCAACCAGCCAATCAGAAAATTTCGAAGGCGTTCGTTCGATGACGTCAATTTAGTACTGTTGACATTGTGGTTAAGACTGTATAAAACTGTAGTATATACATTAAATAAGTTTTTTACTGATGTGAATGATTGAAATGGTGAAAGTGTATGGTTGAAACGAGTATAAATAGGAGCTGAGAAAACGTGAAAATAAGATCAGGCATTCTGCCTCGCATGAAGCAGTCTGCCTGATCTCATTTATTTTATTTTTTTATTTTTATTTATTTAATTATATAGAGTTATATAGAGTTATAAGGAGTTTGCATGCCTGTGGTTTGTGTGATTGTATGTTGTGTTTTTTTATATTTTAGGTGGGTTCTTTAGCGGTTGCTCATACATATATACATACATCATGTTTGTTTGTGTGGTAGTATTTTATGTTCTGTTTTACTCCTTTTTCTCTTTCTTCATGAGTCTTAAGTTAAGTTAATGAAACATAGGTAGGTGAGATAAAAATTAATTTATTATATAGGTAGGCTAGGGCATAAGGTAATTTAGTTACATAGGTAGGTTATGAACTTCTATTCTTTTACTCTACATGGTGGTTATGTTCTGTTTTACTCCTTTTTCTCTTTCTTCATGAGTCTTAAGTTAAGTTAATGAAACATAGGTAGGTGAGATAAAAATTAATTTATTATATAGGTAGGCTAGGGCATAAGGTAATTTAGTTACATAGGTAGGTTATGAACTTCTATTCTTTTACTCTACATGGTGGTGTGTTTTTTGCTTTGTTTTTTTTTATTTGTTTCACATCATACACATAACAGGTACGCGGTGGATCCTGGTTTTAGTGGGATTTTTATTGATTGAATGTGGTGGTACGTATGGTTATAAAGAGTTATATAGAGTTATATAGAGTTATATAGAGTTATATAGAGTTATATAGAGTTATATAGAGTTATATAGAGTTATATAGAGTTATATAGAGTTATATAGAGTTATATAGAGTTATATAGAGTTATATAGAGTTATATAGAGTTATATAGAGTTATATAGAGTTATATAGAGTTATATAGAGTTATATAGAGTTATATAGAGTTATATAGAGTTATATAGAGTTATATAGAGTTATATAGAGTTATATAGAGTTATATAGAGTTATATAGAGTTATATAGAGTTATATAGAGTTATATAGAGTTATATAGAGTTATATAGAGTTATATAGAGTTAGAGCATATATCCTATATAGATACCTTTCTTTGAAGTTCTTTTCTTTGCCGACCGGTCGGCTTCTTTGCGTTTCTCTATTTTCATTTAAATTAAATAAATAAATAAGATTTGTCCATTCATTTAGGTTGAAGCTTCCGGAGGAGTTCATCGTGGAGGATCAGAATGGTTGTGATGTCACGCTACGTTCGTTCATTCAGTGTCAAAGAATGCACGCCTGGCTGGGTTCGTTTTACGGTTTCTTTGCGGTTTCTCTTTTTGCCAATTGGCTGGCTTTTCCGGCTGGCGGGTTTCACCGCGGCTCGTTTCTCTATTTTCCTTTAAATTAATTAAATAAATAAGATTTTTTTATTTCATTCATTTCATTCAGGCTGAAGCTTCCAGAGGAGTTCATCGTGGAAGATGTCAGGCTACGTTCATTCATTCAGAGGCAAAGAATACACGCCTGGCTGGGATACGTTTTATTCTTTTTTCTCTGTAATTTAAAAATAAGTAAGAATGCTTACACGCACATACACACACACACACAATTACATTAAGTAGCTATATAGGTAGGTTAGATAGGCATAATTTTAATTGTAGGTAGGATAGATAGGAAGCATCCAACACTAATGTAGTTGAATAGGTAGGCGCGTAAGTTTATCGCTTCTATTTTTTTCTTGCACCCACATTACACGCATTAGCGTATTACACACATAAATACATATATAAACACATATATTAGTATTTGAGCGTAATTTTATTTTCATTACACATTCTAATTTATTATTACTAAGGTTGAGAGTAATTTAATTTCATAGGTAGTTAAGGGCAATAATGTAATTCTAGGAACAATCTTGTAATGTAAATTAAAACGCTGTATGTGTATCGATAGGTAGGTTAATTATAAGTTTTATATTATTATTATTATGTCGGAACCCAAGGCATTACGTAGGTGGTGGGGTGGGTGCCGAAAGGCCAATGAATTGGGCTCTTGAGTTTTTTTAATTTTAGGTAAGTTAAGGCCATAATGTAATGAATAGGTAAGTTAAGGCTACGTTGTAACACATACTCATTAATAGATTTAGGGTTTAAGTTTTATATTATTATTACTAAGTTGGAGCCCAAGGCATTACGTAGGTGGTGGGGTGGGTGCCGAAAGGCCAATGAATTGGGCTCTTGAGTTTTGTAATTTTAGGTAAGCTAGGGCTTAATTGTAATGAATAGGTAAGCTGAGGGTACGATAGCCGATAGACTCTGAATTTCAAAGTCCGTTGTCAGAGGTAAGCCTTGGTGGCCAGTGGTGAACCGGCAATGGTTTACTATCCGGACGGCAATAGTCTACTATCCGCACGGCAATGGTTTACTATCCGGTGCCCTGGCTGTCGGTGAACCTCTGTGCAAAGAAGGGAGAATGAAGGGGGACTTTCGACTATCGTACCATTAACAATTTAATATAGATTAGTTAAGGTAATTGAATAGGTAGATAGGATTATTTTTATTAAGCAATTTGAGATGCAGGCACCGCTAAGCTTTCTGATTAGAATTTTCTCTTTCTCCATTCCACGGGCTGTGTTTCAACAACAATCTCGAGGAGGACTGGCACCAGTTTTGGAGGACAACGTAAGAACCGGAAAGCATTCAACATTCTGCCTTTGTCGAATGGACGACGGTAAGTTTTTTTTTTACATTTTAATCTCTATTATTTTCATTTATTATTTATTTGCCATTATTTCCATTTTATAATTTTTTGCTTCTAAGATTCTAACATTCATTTACTACTACGCTAATAAAAAAATTGTCTACAGAATGATGAGAGGTGGGCAGTGGTGGGAGTCAGCACGTTTCAGAGGGTAGTCTCATGATGATTTACGTATGATGGTGTGGTGTAGGAAGAATCAGCGCGTTGGCTGTTCGACTGACGCTCAGAAGTTCGGATGAAGTCTTGTGTGCCTATCTGAATGTGGTGGTCGGTGCGGTCGGTGCAATGGATTGAAGTAACGACGATTTTTGAAGTAAGGTTTAATTTCGTTTTTTTTTATTTTCTCATTCATTCATTTTTTTCTTCAATCTTTCAAATTATTCTTCCATTAATTGACGTTAATTCGTTCTATTCATTCATTCATTCATTCTTTTAACTAATTATTTAATCATTCAGTTCATCATTTATTCGTTCGTTCCTTTGTTCCTTGATTTACTACTAAACTAATAAAAATAACTTTTTACAGAATGATGAGAGGTGGGCTGTGGTGGGCGTCAGCACGTTTCACATGATGGTCTCATGATGATCGTTCCGATGACAATTTGAAGAAAACAACAACGACGATTTTTGAAGTATGGCTTAGTTTTTTTTTAATTTTTCTCATTCATTTTATCACTCTTTCAAATTATTCCTCCACTAATTGATTCATTCTATTCATTCGTTAAATCATTCAATTCATCATTTATTCGTTCGTTCCTTTGTTCCTTGATTTACTACTAAGCTAATAAAAATATCTTTTTACAGAATGATGAGAGGTGGGCTGTGGTGGGCGTCAGCATGTTTCAGATGGTGGTCTCATGATGATCGTTCCGATGACAATTTGAAGATAATATTAAAAGAAATTTGTTCTTGTCCCATTGTTCTTGTCCCATCGTACCATTGAAAGTACTCGAATTTGTCATCTCAATCAATCAATCAATCAATCAATCAATCAATCAATCAATCAATCAATCAATCAATCAATCAATCAATCAATCAATCAATCAATCCAATCAATCAATCAATCAATCAATTAGCTTATAAAGCGCTATTTCCGCGATGTTCAACAGCGCTCCTCAATGAATTTTGAAAACAGATGGGTTTTGAGATCCGCTCTGAACTTCGCAAGTGATGGAGTAGTCAGAGAAGTAGGTAAATAAGATAAGTTGCCTTTTTTTCCAATGGCTTGTTTTTTACTTTAAAGAATTATTTTTTTTTAATTTAGTGTTTTTCAGTATCCGGTCAAATTCATTCCATCGATGCGTGTCAGATGATGGTCGGTGCAATGGAGGTTCGTTTGTAGTGAGTGAAGAAGTTTTTGGAGAGTACACGCCCGCACATTTACACACACACACATCAATAAAACACACACATACACAACATCCATTCATTCGTTGTCGTTATGTTTTTCTTCAATTTTCTATTTTCTTTACCAGACTTAATTTAATTCGTAGGTAAGTTAGGGATTGAGATGAGTTGAACAATCGTAGGTAGGCTAGGGCTTGACATTAGTTAAAAAGTTTCAGGTAAAATAAAAACGCTGAAATATGTAAAATAAATTACCTAAAACATGTAAAATTCCAAAAACGTAGAAAAACATATTTGTAGGTAGGTGAGTTGAGTTAATGATTATAAGTAAGCTAGGGCCCTGAGAGTAATTTAATTGTAGGTAGGTGACTGACTACTATTCTTGCAACTTTTTACTAGTTTTTTGTGATGTGTTTGTTTTCGTTTCACAGCCCCACACCAACAAAACAAACTACATTTTATTCTCGTCGTCGCCTTAAATTTTACCTTTTTGAACAATCTTTTTAATAATGTCTATTTATTTAATTATTTATTAAATGTTGACTGGTTTCTAGTTTTTTTAATTTGGTTTCTTTCTTTACTAAAATCTCGAAATTGTTTGTCCCTACAGTTAAGTGTTTGTTCGAGTTTAAACAAGCCTTGGAAATATTTTTCAAATATGGTTCATTGATTGGTTGGTTGATTAGTTGATTGAATGAATGGTTGGTTGATTGATCTCATAATATTTTATATATGAAAAAAAAATCCGATTAAGCCAACATACGGCTTTACTTGGCCACTGTATTTTACCAGACAAAAGCAATTTCTTTATTTATGTTGACAAAAATAATTGTGAAATGGATATATTGACTTATTTAAAGCATTATATGTAAAGAAAACCGCCATGACACTGTTGTATGAGACCCAGTAAGCCACTCCAGTAAGCCAACGTATGATTTCAGTAACTATAATTTCTATGAGCACCAGCAGAATGTAAAATATTCATTGAATATAATGAAGATAGTTGTTCAAATAATTTTGATCTATTTAGGTCGTTTATTTCATGAGCAAACAAATTTTTAACATGATCGAATAGTGTATCAATAATACACAATGATATCCTTCTCTCTAGTGACAATAGTAATCTTACTCTTCTTCTTGCTCTTGACTTTTCTTCAGCTTTTGATACTGTTGACCATACTATTCTCTTGAGACTGCTGCATCTTTCTTTTAATATTACTGATTCTTGTCTATCTTGGTTTTCTTCTTATCTCTGTAATCGTTTTTCTTCTGTTGTTCTCAATAATTCTACTTCTAACTCCTCTACTCTTACTTTCGGGGTACCTTTTCTATTTATACTCTATACTTCTGAACTACCTCGTATTATTAATAACTTTTCTTTCTCTAGTCAACTATATGCTGATGATTCTTATATTTATACTTCTTTTCCTCCATCTAATCTCAATAGTGTTCTTCATAATTTATCTCTATGTCTTTCTTCGATTATCGCTTGGTCTGGCTCTATGTGTCTTAAACTTAATCCTTCTAAGTTTGAATTAATTTGTTTTAATAAATCTAAACACTCTATTACTATTCCTCCTATTATCTTACCTGATTCTAAAACTCTTGATGTCTCTCATAAGTTTCGTAGTCTAGGTTTTATCTTTGATTCTACTATGTCTCTCTCTTCTCAGATTAATAGTGTTGCTAGAAGCTCTTACTTTCATCTACGTAGAATAAAAAAACTTTTGCCTTTTCTTGATGATCCTACTCTTCTCCTTCTTGTTACTTCGTTAGTCTTATCTAGGATTGATTATTGTAACTCGTTCTACTATGGTCTTCCTGACTCTATACTCTATCCTTTAAGTAAAGCTTTTAACTCTGCTGCTCTTCTAGTTGCTCGTGCCCCTTTCTTTTCTCATATATCTCCATATCTTGTTCTCTTGCACTGGCTACCTATAAAATATAGAATAATTTTTAAAATTTGCACGTTCATGTATAAGTCTCAATCTAAATTATTTCCTAAGTATTTATCAGATATATTAATTGAACCTAAACGCCCCGGTTTACGATCGTCTTCTTCTTCTCGCTTTTTCTTAACTCGTGTTAAACACTCTTTTGCTAAATCTGCTTTTGCTTTTTCTGGTCCTTTTCTCTGGAACTCTCTACCTACTTCTCTGACTATTTCTCCATCACTTGCGAAGTTCAGAGCGGATCTCAAGACCCATCTGTTTTCAAAATTCATTGAGGAGCGCTGTTGAACATCGCGGAAATAGCGCTTTATAAGCTAATTGATTGATTGATTGATTGATTGTAAAAAAGGGTGACTTTAGTTCAATCCTACTAAGACAACCTTCGGCTTCAGTAAAAAACCACCGGATTTCACAGGACCAAAAGTATAATTTTTATATTCAAATTAACAACAATAATTTAATAATACATAATTTTATTGAATAAAATCATAATTTTGTTTAATAAAATTAAAGAGAATTACTACAATATTTTAAGCATATTAAGTCAAGTAAATATTTCATATAGCTTGCTCGTTAAAATCCATGCAATTTCGTAAGCCAATAATCCAAATAACGACAAATTATTCTAATTATATGAAATTATCCACATAATTGAATAACTAGCAAAAATCATTGAATATTAGTTATTTTAAAAAATATATTCTTTATTCCCAGGCCTAAGCATCGTAAGTAAAAATTTTACAACCAATCAAGCAATAGGATTTAGGATTTTAGGAACAAGTGCTGTTAGTGTAGTAGTTGTAGTATGTAGTAGTGTAGTGGTTGGTAGTCTCTAGTAGTCTAATCTGTTAATGTTCGTTAGTGTTAACTGTTATTTATTTTAATTAGTAATTAGAATTAGTAGTTTAGTTTTAGCTTAATTATTAGAGTTTAGTAATTTAATTACTAATTAGTCGTCGTTAATGTTGTTACGTTACCCTTACCGGTTACAGTTAATCGTTAACGAGTCAAGTGTTAGAAGAGTGGTTCACAAAAAATTTTTTTAATTTAAAATGCAAAAACCGTCATACAGCAATATCTATCCTAAAACAACATCTAGTATCACCTTTCAAAACATTTTAAATAAAAGCAATATTCCGAAATTAGTAAATAAACGATCGTAATTTTAGACTTGGGCGATAAAAAATCACCCTCCAATTTTCCTCCGGAAGTAAGCTCCTTGCTCGACCGTCAAAAATGAGCGAGGGCGTTACATTTATTCTAATTATATGAGTTCGTTCATATATTTCAATGATTGGCGAACAAAAATAGCATTATTAGGCGCTAGACAATTTAAATTTAATTACCCTAACTTCCATAAGCGTACGTTTTGCGATCTTTGTTTTAATTTGGTTTATAGACATATATATTAATCAAATTAGGCGTTAGTTCGTTAGAGATTTGCGAATTTTTCGACCAGAATTTTGATAAGCAAAATGGCCGATCAGGATGCTTACGGTCGTATCGCGAAAAAAATCAACGATTTAAGAGTTATCGATTTGAAGAATGAACTGGAGAAGCGGAATCTAGAGAAGACAGGCGTGAAGCAGGCCTTGCTGGAACGACTTTCAAAAGTACCTTCTCTATAATTCCTGATTTGAATTGTGAATTTTTACGGACCAACATTTTTTTTTTGACAAACTTCAGATTCAATTTTTTATCCATTGTCTTTTTTTTTATAAAATTTAATTAAATTTTATTTTTTCACGTTAAAATATTTAAAAAAATGAAATTTGAAAACCAAAACAAATGTCTAAAACTGAATGTGAATGTGAATTGAATAGGAATAGATAGGGAATGCCCCTAGCGTGGTATTTCTGTTTTTTTTTTTTCAGAATTTTTTTTAAGTTTGTAATCAGTCAGTCTGCAAAAATTGTTGAATTGCCACCATTGTCCATTGAATGCATTGCTATTTATTTCTGATTTTGTATTTTAATGTTGTATTTTTTCATGTTTATTTTCAAATGATCATAATGTTTGTTGTCATTAAGACTTAAAAGTAAATTAAATTTAAGATAAATCAAAATGGTTGTTGAAATGTCATTTTATAAAGCACCATAGCAAGCGACTGATGTTTTATTTAAAAAAATAATATAATTAATTAACTAATATTATTATATAAAAGTTTTTTAAAATTATGTTTTTTAAGATATATAAATATTAATTAACTTTAATTAAAGTTAATAGAAAATGATTTTTCTTTTTATTTTATTTTTCTTGTTTTATATTTAATTATATTATTTATTTCATATAACATGTTCGCATTTTATTTATTCATATATAAATTGTTATTTTTAATTTATAGGCATTAACAGACGAGGGTAACAATCCAGAAACGTTCATCTTTTTCACCGTCGCTCCCACAAAGCAAAATAGTAGGCCATTCAAATTTATTCATATATATCCAGAAGGTATTTGGGAAAGTTTCACTCTATTGACCACTGTACTATTGTTATCGATGAAGAAGTGCTTGCAATTGCAGTTTAATATAGTGTTTACATACATGCATCTGTTCAGATATATTTATTAAAATTACATACTGTTACCATAGTCCTAAATCTAAGCCCTATGATAATCAAGAAAACTATATTTTGTTATGAATTCCTAGTAAAACATACTTTTGAAAATTTTTTATACAATTTTGTATTAATAAAAAAATTTTTTTTCATTGCAGAGAAGTCAGATGTCAGTTACACCGTAAGTTCTATATAATTGTTTTCAAATAGAAATTTTTTGAACATCTTGTCTACTCAATAATCTTGATCTTTTAAAGTTAACCTTTTGACGATAATTTAAAACATCCATCCATATTTATTTATTTAAAAATATATATTCATTATCTATGCATTTGTTTTATATTATAACAAAGAATAATAATTTTGATTAATTAAAGATTTTTTATAAATTATAAATAATTTATAATTCCTAATTTTAATTTCAAAGGAACGGGAGAGCGCAGTCGAAGAGGTTGGCTCTGATAGGAGCGAGATGACCACTGCCGGATTTGAAGTAAGCTTATTCTCACCATTATTTTTTTGTAACAAATTTGGTAAGACTGTTAGCCGCATACACCTTATCCCAAATTTTTCTTTCACCATTTTAATGAGGGCTGTGTTTTTGTTGAATGGTCAAAAAAAAGTTTGATTTATGGTTGTTTTAAGTTTTGTTGTAAAAATTGCCACAAACCTACGCCTTGGATGGATGTCCAACTTAACTATAACATTTAAACTTTTTTATAACATTTTCCTTTCACTACCCTATTGGTTATTGTTGTTATTTGTTGTTTCATATCCAAGTATATGCGTGCGTGTGTGTGTGTGCGCGTGCCTGCGTGTGTGTGTCTGTTATCATTTTTATAAATATTGATGGCATATTTACATATTTTCTCACATTTATTTTTTTCAATTTTTCTTAATCAGGAAGGAAGTCCTAGTCCTGGTGACAAGAAAAAGTTATCAGGTATTTTGACGAAACTCCTTTTTTTCATTCTTACTAACAAACCAAACTTAAACTTTAAGTTTAAGTTTGGTTTATATTATATTATATTATTATATATATTATTATATATTATTAATATTATATTATTATTAATATTATATTATATTATTATATTTTATTCCAGTAAAGGTTTATTATTTTATTTTATTTATGATGCAGTATTCAATTAATTGGAGTTGGCACATGCTTTTACAATTATTCGCTACTGACAATTTGTAAACATACAAACATAAAAACATACAAACATACAAACACGCCTAGATGAACATAAGAATGTGTATTAGCTTATTTCTGTATAATAATATAAATTAGGATGAATCCAACAGAATTAAAGTTGTTAGTTTAGTCTTCATTCAAATAAGACATTGTCAGATTATTTCTTATTTAAAGTTTTAGAAGTTTTTTTTTCTACAGCTGGTTTACCCTTCTTAGATTTTTTTTTTATATTCCCAGATAGTTTAATTCCTTTGAAATGATTTTTGTATTATAAGTTAGGAATTTGTAGGGTGTGACATTGTTTTATGGGTTCAAGTTTAAGGAGTAATACACATATTCAAGCTTCTGTAATTACAAATACAATTAATGGGTTAGCTTACAATATCACCAGTGATTTTTTTCATAGAATTATTATGTTAACAAGAAATTAACAAAAATTTTATCTTTAGTGCTTCTTGTCATAAATTTATTAAATTAACAAAAAAGTGTTCAATTATAAATACACTCATTGTAGATATGTATTAAGTGTAGAATTGGTGCAAAACAAGTTCAATAATATTTAATAATGAATGTGTAAGATGATAGATTGATGAGAATAATTTGATAGCTTCTATCTGTCAATTATTATTATTGATTATTGATATTACTTATGAATGTTGATTGCATGGTTTGATTTATGTTCAACATGTGCATGTGTATGTATATATAGATGTATGTATGTAAGTATGTATGTATACTTATGTATGTGTTAATGTATAATAAACATTACACATAGCAGTGTATGTCAATAAACAAATGTATATATTGGTAATTTTGTTTGTACAATATCAGAAGGCTCTGCATCGTCGTCTCAACTAATCAATTTGGATAGTGATACAGAAGGAACTAGTGAAAAAGAAGGAGAAGCTGCCGCTACTATGTTTAAACAAAAGTCAGGAAAAACTGAAGAAACTTGTGACCTTTTGAACGAAAGTAACGAATTTGAGGATCACCTGATCGTCGATCTCGATGGAGATGACTTTCCAAGGATGTCGAATGGGAAAATTATACAAAATGATATGCCTATGGAATCGTCTTGCAATGCAGATGATGATGTTGAAGAAAGAGGAATTGACATTGATGACAATGATATGTATGATAGTGGCAATAATAACAACAATGAAGAAGATGAATACTCGCTAGAGATCAACGACGATGAAGACAACGACAATGACATGTACAACAACAACGTGCAGGACAATGCATCCGGTTCTCTAGTCATTCAAGGGTACCACATAGACACTGACAAAGATGAAACAGATTCCGACCTTGCCATCAATATATCTGACTTCCCACACGAACTACAGAGAACATCATCCAACCTTGACTCCAGCAGTGAACTGCTACGCGACCTCGAACATGCCGACGATGACTTCCTAAATCACGAGGATGGAACCTTAGTGCCAGAGGAAGAAATTAATGAGGATAAATTGTTGAGTCTGCATGCAGATGAAGCCACTGAATTGCCTCATGATGACAAGAAGCAACCAATCCAACATCAACAACAACAACAACCTCAGAAATCAAACTCAACTGAGAGACCAGGGGAAGCAATTGCCAGCACTGATGAAAACAATAACGATCCAAACAGGAAAGATACCCCAGTGAAGTCCGCCGACTCCTCACTCAATATTAAAACTGATGTCAGACCGAATACCTCGCCAGCTGGAGCTCTCATAAAAGAAGATAAAGAAAAAGATCATGTTAAAGTAGACACAGCAGCTAAGAATGAAGAAAACAAAAAGGAGAAAGTAGTGGATGAGAAATCTTTTCAAAGCATTCCCGCATCCAACTCCTCGTCCATGAGTCATGCAGTCTCCAGTGACACCAACATTTCTTCAGATGTTGGTAATGTTAATAAAAAAAGGTTGGTTACTTAATCATTATGTAATATCAGTGCATGTACCTAATGTGAGTAAGTGATGTTGATAGCAGTTGTTGGGATTTACTAGTTTGTTATCTTGTTAATTCAGTAAGTGGTAGACGAGCAAATTGAGACAATTGCATAGATCTAACAAGTGTTTTAATGTAAATTTGTGTGCATGTTGTGTACGTGAATGTTTAATTGACAATCGAATGCGAATACGATAAAATGAAGAAAGAAGATGAATAACCACCACACACACACACACGTGTGCACGCACTAAAGATGCATCTACTGTGGATTGGGGAAAACTTCATTAACACAGCAAAACCTCTTTGCAATTGTGGACCTAAAGACTTCCATTTTTCCATCATCTGATCCACTGGACATGTTTCCATCCGATCTACTGGACAAAGATGATCACAAATTCTACATTAATATATCTATATATGCATGTGTTTATATATATATTTATATATAATTATATATATATATGTCTGTGTGTGTGTCTTTTGTTTGTTTGTTTGTAAGCAGCCAACTAGGTTTAGTTACTATATTTCTATGGGGGTGTTGTACAGCTTGAGATTATCATTTTAAAATTGCTACATGCCTTTCATCAGTGGTCAAATGAAAATAATTTTCAGCAAACAAATCATTGTTAATTATTTATTTGTTTAATTGATTAATTTTAATTGATCAATTATTTAAATCTTAACTGACTAATTATAAATTAACTCTTCATTCGAAACAGTAATAGCGGGACCAGCTTAACAAAAGATGGCAAAGGTAATTTATTTTTCTTTATTTTTTCATATTTTCAAATTTCTACATTTTTTATCTTTATCATGTGACATGACATGAACTACAAATGAATGGATTTTGTGCCTTGATTGTGTGAGTTGATGGCAAAGAAAACAACGTCCTACCTCAAGGAACCGGGACTCTGGACGCAAAACGAAGATTGATTGATTGATTGATTGATTGTGTGAGTGAATGAATGAATGAATGAATGGGTGGCTGATTAAATGATTGCATGAATGAATGAATTACACGATTGCCTGACTAAATGAATGGATGAAATAAACACAAACATACAGAAATGAAAAAGTTAACAACGACCTTAATGTCCAACAACTCTGGGAACAACTTGTGGGTCAGTGGACTGTCCTCGACCACGAGGGCTGCTGACCTCAAGAATCTCTTCAGCAAATATGGAAAGGTATTGTTATTGTTGTTGCTAGTACTGCTGCTGTTGTTACTGTCGTTATTATTCCTATTGTTGTTGTTATTTCTGTTGTAGTTGTTGTCATTCTTCTTATTGTTGTTGTTGATGTATTCAGTAAATGTAGAAAGGTATTGCTATTATTACTGATGTTGTCGTTGTTATTGTTCTTGTTGTTGTTGTTGACGTATTTTTATCTCGAGAAATGTGAAAATTTGTATCGAGCCTGTATCATTTTTGAAAAAGTTATGCAGCTGGTATCAAATCAATATGGTTTCTTTTTTTCAACTTTTTTTATGTGCCGTGAGGAATTTTAATTGAGGTGATCTCTACAATGATACACTGATAATGGTTGAAGATAATATTGATTGCGATGATGATAAAGATGGAAAGAATTGTGAGGATAAGGTGGTGATGATGTACAGAGAACATTGATGATGATGATGATAAAGATGATGATGTTAATTAATTATCACAGGTTACAGGAGCTAAGGTAGTCACAAATGCCAAAAGTCCCGGGTCAAAATGTTACGGCTTCGTGACCATGATGACTGCAGATGAAGTTTCAAAATGCGTCGAGTTCCTCAATAGAACAGAGCTGCATGGAAGGATGATAACTGTTGATAGGGTTGGTTGGAAAGAAACTCATTTCCCGATGCTTTTGTCTTTTTCATTTTTTTCCATTTTTATTATTAATGTTCTTTTTATTGTTAGAGTTTTTCTTCATTTAAAAGTTAAAAAAGGTTAAAGGTTACTCTCTCTTTTGCGCTTGCTTCGGAGGTTTCAACCGCAAGCACACACAGTGTATATGAATACGCATGAAAACCACGCATCATACACATTGCATATGTGTAGGCGGGGATCTCTTTGCATTCGAACCCAGTCACTGCAGCAGCAATACCAGGCGCCTTTAATCATTGAGCCATCACGCCGCCCATTTATGCTCTTGCTATTGATTTTAATATAAATTTTATATTTTTGATGACCACCCTTTTCTCAGGCTAAAGATAATTCATCAGCCCAGGTGATTGTAAATAAGAAGGTTCTCTCTAACAAGACAGCTGAGGGTTATTATTTTTAATATTATAATTATTATTTTGTTGGGGTTTTTTTGTACAATTTAAACTCTTACAAAGTTTTGCTATTGTTACTTATGAAGTTTTTGTTGATTTTCTGTAGTATCATATTTAATTATTCTAAAACAGCAGGCAAGCCACTGTCTTCTAGTGTTGATTCAAAGGCAACAACATCTTCATCTTCCTCTTCTTCAACTATGACATCAACAAAGCCAACTGCCACTACAGCGACCTCTTCTTCCGCAGCTACTGTCGCTACTACCATAACTACTGCTACAGTTGCTACCAAAGCTTCTACAACGGCATCAGCTACGTCTTCAACTAAAACTTCAGCTACTACTACTACTACAACAACAACGACGACGACAACAACAACATCAGCGTCAAAAGATTCAAAGAGCATTGTGAGGAAAGATAGAGATGAACAAGATAAGAGCAAAATAGATGGTTAGTTGTTATATCATTTTAATCATATCATTCTGTCATACCCGCAAACGATAATTCTATAATGTAATAATTTCATAATATTAATTGATAATTTTTAGTAAGCTCTTTAATTAATGATCTAATTAATTAATTAATTAATGTAGAGGATGATCTTTGTAATTTGGGAAAACAGAAAATTCATTAAAATTACGCAAATATTGGTGTGAAATAAAAATTTATGTCACAAATATTTAAATGATTTGTAGTAAAAGAAAAATAAATAATGAACTAATCAAATCATGATTTTAAATTATATGAATTAAAATTTCACCATATCATTTTTTTTTATGTTAACCATTTAATTTGCAGATTACCATCATAGCAGTAGGTTTAAGTATGATAGCAGAAAGAGATCACCCATAAGAGATATGCTAACTCTTGAAAAAATCAGGGTTTGTTTGGCATTTTTTTTTTGTTTAGCTTTTTGTTTGTTTGTTCATTTGTTCGTCTGTTCATTTGGTTTGTTTGTTCATTTGAATTATTAATAATTATTTTGGTTGAAGTGTTCAACATTTTATCTACCTTAAATGATAATTACCTTAACCACCATTGTGCTCTGAAATAGGAGGCCAGAGAGAAAGAGAAGGAAAGACAGAGGGAGAGAATAAAGAGACAAGAGGAGAAGAGACAGGAGATGATGCTGAACAGAGAGAGGGAGAGGCAGAGAGAGATAGAGATGTTACAGAGAGAGGAGGCAAACAGGCTGGCTAGGGAGAGAGAAAAATTGAGGTGTGTTTATAAGGATGGTGATTGATAATTTTATTTTAAATTTAACATTGTTAGTCTGTTGTTTTTGTTGATTATTCATTAATTAGCATAATAAATTATTCAACTATAATTTTATCAAATTAAATTCACTCAATTAGATTAGAGAAGCAGAAATTGGAGCTTGATCGCATGAAGGCTGAGAGAGAGAAAATTGCTCTGGAGAGAGAGCGCCAGAAGAGAGAACGTGAAAAGTTGGAGAGGGATAGAGAAGAGAGGAGGAAACAGTTACTCAGGTATTTTGATCAATGGATTGATTGGCTGATAAAAAAAATTATGACAAAAATTACACCTAATTATAGTTAAAATTTCTTCATAATATTAAATAACCACATATCAATTAAGCTAAAATGTATTAATACAATATAACTATATAATTATTTATTATTTTATAATAATTTTTGATACAATAAGTAGATGAATTAATGAAGAAATTTATAAATAAAATTTTTTTCAGAAAATCTCCAGAGCTAAAAAGACCACCTACCTTTGGATATGGAGCCACCAAGAGACCACCAAGTCTTGAAAGGCTAGCTATTTATTAGTTTTATTGCCTGTTTGTATCTGTCTATGTTTGTCTATCTGTTTGTCTGTGTATATGTGTAATACATCGTATTTATTAGATAATTTATTTATTGATATGTTGCAAGCTAAAACCTTTATAATATTATTACATCTTGATACGTCTGTAGGTATTTATACAAAATTTTTTATTCAAATGTTCATTAATTGAAAAATGATAAATGAAAACATGTATGGAATAACAATTTTTGATATATTTGCAATCTTTTAAAAATATACTTCATTGATAGAATTTGAATTATAAATAATTAATTTGGAAAGAATTTTAAGTGTGTAAATTTTGTAGTTTGTAAAATTAGACAAATTAATTGAATGTAATTTTTTTGGATGCAGGAGCAAGCCATCGGAGCATCGCGGTAGCATTGCTGATCACCATCACCTCCATAGTTCTAGCTCAAGGAGAGAGAGAAGCAGGAGTAAGCATGATAGTAAGAGGTGGCTACTGCTGTTTTTGTCTTTGTTTCCACGTTTGTTTCTAATTCCCCCCTTTTCTCTCTCTCTCTCTCTCTCTCTCTCTCTCTCTCTCTTTCTCTCTGTGTGTGTTTGTGTCTTTGTTTGTATGTCTCTCTGAGTACCGGTATTTCTGATTATGTGTAATGCTAATGATGCCAAAGTTTCTATGTAGATCTGCAGGTTTTTTAAACGTTGAGTATGCATCTCACTCACAATGGTACAATCAATACTGTTATCATAGTAACAGTAATAAAATATAACCTAATTACACTCTTTAGACCAAGAATGGTGGAGGCAGAGATGGCGTCAAATCATCATTATCACTCATCTTCATCAGCAGCAGCGAATGCAGCAGCTGCTGCATTGAAGCAGGCGTCGTCACTGACGTCATCATCATCACGTGGTAGAGGAAGCTCCCCGAGTGCCAAAGTTGAGTGGAGGATGTGCGGAGTTAAGCCATCCTCTGAAAGCGTTATGGATCATCGAAGAGGTTGGGTGTGGTTTTTGTGTCAAAGTTGCTTCTTCTTTGTGTCTTTCATACCTTCACAAGGGTTTTAATGATTTTTTAATCAGTTTTCTAACAATTTTTGAGTGCTTTCAAGGCAGATCCTAATTACTTTGTTGTTGAAATGTTATTTAAGAAAACTTAAAGCTTTTGTTTATAAGGCCTAAAGAGACATCCTACTTATACATATTTAACTGTATCACTGCTTCCTTTCTGACCATCCTTAGTTCATTATAATTATTATATTCATTGTAACCACAGGTCTGCCTGGAAACAGCAGTGGTAGTAGCAGTGCCGACTGGAGCAGCAGGAGAATGATGAGTACGTGTTTCTGTGGTCTTTTAATATGAAATGAATATTTGTATCAATTCCGATGCACACTTTTCGTTGCCTTATGTTTTGTTCACGTTAAGTTTTGTTCACGTTAAGTTATTTTTTACGAGTTAGTCAAATACAATTTAAATCTTCATCAACCAGTTACTCCGGATGAAGGAAACGCTCCATTAGACTACCAACATCACGGACATCATTACCCACCACTACAGTGGCCGGCTGAACACACCAAGAACATTCTATCTTCCAACTTCATAGCTCCCAGGTCGTGGACCTCATCGGGTATGATGCCCTCCCTCCAATCATCATTTGCACCCCAGTTTGATGGACCTGGTGGATCCTTCATGCCCTCTGGCTCCAACTTTATGGGTGGCCTAAACAGAGGAGGACCTGGTCCGTTTGAGAGCTACAAATCTATGGGGCCCTCGAGTGGGTCATTCAGAAGATATTGAGCAGTTGTCGTTATTTCATAGAATTGACGTTCAAAGCATGTTGAACTATCTTTCTATCGATATATGAATCAGATTTGCATTGTTCGTTTGTTGTTTGTTTGTTCCAGACGTATTTTATTACTTTTGTTTATCTTTTATTAATTATTGGCGGTGTAAGTTTTGTTTTTTATAAACCCCAATGAATTGTCACGTACGGTATTTCTAATTAAAAGGTAGAAATGTGTTAACGGTTTCATTTACATGAATGAATTAAAAATTTCCGAAAAGTTTTTTAGTTTGACAGATTCGTTTCGAAATTATAGACGGCTATTGGTATCGACATTTTATTTACGGTTGCTTGTTTTCGTTATATTCAATAAAAACGATGTTAATGAACCTAGAATTAAGAGCCCGAAAGACGTGATATTTCGACGTTGGAGATTTAAATTGATGCCGTATCCTGTGAACTCGACAAGTCGCTGGCGTTTTTTTGTGAGACTCATCCTTTTCACTGACTCTTGAAAAGGTTACTGCGTTTTAGTGAGTGTTTGTACTATTTCACAGTATGAAAATAAAGTACATTAAATGTGGATAATTTCCAACATATATGCAGAATAAATGTAACATGTTTGGGTATTATAGGAGTATGCATAGATCGCACTGTTGTTCGATTTATATGTTCTATGGCAATTGTCACCATAGCAACACCTAGCATCTGTGTACAAATTAATTGTTTGAAATTATAAAAGAAATTATAAGTATTTTAACGATGGCGAACATACAGATGAAAGAAGGTGAAGTAACTTCAACGATATACACTTTGATAAAGGATAGAAAATACAGTGAAACGGTACAGGTTTTGAACAACATTATTCAGGTTTACGACAAATCTCGACCAGCGTTGTCTCTGTTGGGCTTTTGTTACTATCAGTTGCAGGATTTTGTCAATGCCGCAGATTGCTACGAACAATTAACAATGCTGGAACCAGCCAATCAAGAATTTAAACTTTATTATGCCCAGTGCTTATACAAATCAAGTTTATATGAGGAAGCCATGAAAATATCATGCCAGGTAGATGGGAATAATTTGCATTCAAAAATTGTAAAACTTCAAGCGGGCATTAAATATGGACAAGAAGATTATACCGGAGCAAAAAGTCTGATTGATGACTGTCCCCAGGATGATCCAGACGCCATAAACAACATTGGATGCTTGCACTATAGTGAAGGAAAGTATGAGGAGGCCCTCAAAAAATTTACACAAGCTCAACAAATTGGAGGAGAAAAGCCGAGTTTGATGTACAACATATCTCTTAGTCATTATATGTTGAAAAGATTTAATGTTGCTCATTCGTGTGTCAGTAAAATAATATCTAAAGGTATAAATGAGCACTCTGAGTTGGCAATAGGTATGAACACAGAGGGACTGAATGTTAGAAGTGTCGGAAACTCTCTAGTCCTCCATGAATCAGCGTTAGTTGAAGCATTTAATCTTCAGGGGGCCATTGAATTTCAACTGAAACATATGGACCTTGCAAAAATGTCCTTGACTGACATGCCACCTAGAATGGAGCATGAACTTGACCCAGTCACTCTCCACAACCAAGCTCTCTTCAATATGGAAACTAATCCATCTGAAGGTTTTGAAAAGTTGCAATTTTTACTGCAACAAGAATCATTCCCTCCTGAAACATTTGCAAACCTCTTGCTGTTGTACATTAAATATGAATATTACGACCTAGCTGCTGATGTTTTGGCAGAAAACGCACATCTGACCTACAAATACTTAGCACCATTTTTATATGAATTTATTGAAGTCGTCATCTTGAGACAAACAGCTCCTGAAGAGGCATACAGTAGATTAGAAGACATGGCAACCAAGTTAACTGAAAATTTAAGAAAATTCACAAAGCAAGTTCAAGAGTCCAGAAAAGTTCACAATGATGAAGCCACAAAGCAAGCAATTCAGGAATTTGATGAAACGATCGATAAGTTCATCCCCATTCTAATGCAGCAAGCCAAAATATTCTGGGATCATGAGAACTACTCTGAAATAGAAAAATTATTCAGAAAGTCAGTTGAATTCTGCAACGATCAGGATGTGTGGAACATGAACGTTGGACACGTTCTGTTCATGCTTGAGAACAAGTACAAAGAAGTCGCTGGTTTCTATGAACCACTGGTCAAAAAACATTACGACGAAATTCTCGAAATAAATGCAGTTGTCCTGGCAAACCTCTGCGTCTCTTACATCATGACCAGTCAGAATGAGGAGGCCGAAGAATTGATGAGAAAAATTGAGAAAGAAGAAGAAAATGTAGCTTACGAACAGCCTGATAAGAAGATATTCCATCTCTGCATTGTCAACTTGGTCATTGGTACCTTGTACTGTGCAAAGGTTTGTTGCTTCTTTCAGTATTTATCGTGTGCTTGCTACATTTGCGTGTTATCAGAATAAACGTTTCGTTTCTCGTTGATCAAAACATTAAGAATCTACAGTACTGCTATCAGATAAGATTTCATTATATAACGCCATAACGATAAAGATCAATTACACTCTTCCAAAGTTCAGAGGATTCAACAAAGCCCACAAACATCGTATATGAATACACGCTAAACGACGCATCACACACGAAGCATGTGATAGGCAGTATCTTTTTGTCATATTCAAACCCGGTTACTGCGAAATAGCACCAGGCGACCTTAACCATTAGACCAACAGTAATGCACGAAAAATGTCATTCTCTGAATATTTCATAAATGAACAGGGAAATTATGAATTTGGAATTTCGAGAGTCATCAAAAGTTTAGAGCCTTACCAGAAGAAACTTGGAACAGACACGTGGTACTACGCCAAGAGGTGCTTCCTCTCTATGCTAGAGAACCTGGCGAAACAGATGATCATGTTGAAGGACGAGGTTTTGCACGACTGCCTCCTCTTCCTGGATCACTGTGAATTTCATGGCAGGGCCGTACCGGCCCATGTTGAGGCCCCTCTCGAAACGGAGAAGATGCACCCAGGAAAGAACACTGTGACGTATGAGGCGAGGCAGCTGAAGGCTCTACTATTGCAGTTCATGTGACCCGCGTCCATTGCGTGAATGCATGTGTGCGTGATTAAGTGTGGATATCAGCCTGCGTGTGTGTGTGTGCGTGCGTGTGTGGGTACGTATGTGAACATTGGATTAGTTGGTCGTTTATTGTTTATGTGTGATTTTACGTTGTTTTTTGATCGGTTAGTCATTTGAGGTCTGAATGTACAATGTACATATGGATTTGTTTATTCGTAGTGTTCATTTCTGTACATATCTAATATGATGTTTAAAAATAGAACGCATGTAATTATAAATTGAGATGCCCTTAACTTAGCAGCTAAATTATGGGAATAATAATTTTTTGTAATTTTAAAACCATTAAAACCAAATTCATAACAAGGAAAACACACAAATATCAACAAATTTTTATTCTCAAGTACAAAAACATTAAGTACTAATATGAACTCCAATCAATTAATTTAATGTAACCAACAAGCCTCACACACATACAAACACACCACACACACACACACACAGAGCCAGCAAAAAAGCAAAAAAACCGACGACAAGCAAATGAACACATACAAACAATACTAATGAATAAGCCTTTAGTACAAATAGATACATAAGTACACACACACATACACGGATACAACAAACACATATAACAAACTTATGTAGCCAAAGAAAACACAGAAAAAAATAAAAAACAAATTCAAACCAAGATGGACAAAATATATATAATGGGCTATGTACAAAGAAAAACTTGACTAGTCATTAACGTTACATAACATTTGAGAGACATGTTGACATATTTATGAAAATATTAAATAGTTTTTTTTCTTCAAGTTGAAAAAGTGCCAAGAAATAAAAAGAAATGTCTTTTTACAAATAATTCAGATTCTCTCTCTCTCTCTCTCTATATATATATATATATATATACATATATATGTATATTCATTTATATAGTTTATACATAATACATATATATATATATCTATATATATATATTCATTTATATAGTTTATATATACATAATACGAATTCTAATGCAATATAGTAGTACACACACACACACGCACGTTTATGTATGTAGGTTTATTTATTTATAAATATTCAGTTATCAACCTCTAGTTATTAATTCTTAAAGGGAAAATATTGAATCAACTCAAGTTCCATAAATATATATATATATGTGTGTATGTATGCATGTTGATATAGTAACATATAAGTACATACAAAGTACAAGCATATGGTTAATTTCCAATAGAAATATCATAAACCTCATATACATAAACAATAAAATCTTCAAGAAATATTAAAAAAAGTAATTATTAATTTAATTAATTTAATTAAATTATACAAAGCTAACAAACAATGGAATGAACCATTGAATGAGTTAATTAATGAACTAACGAACGATATAAACGTATGATCAAACAAACACGTGAATGAACCAACAAAAAACGAATGAACGATTGAATAAAAGGGTAAAGTCAAAAAATTTAAATTTCTAAATATGAAGACACTTCTCATTTGTATCAAGTGATTTACGCATTACCACTACTAATTTCTTATTGGTTGTATCTCTTGTAGTAATCAGACAAGTACTTACAATTGGAGTAACCATCAAAGCTAGTATTATTACTGCTATTAGTATTGTTAGTAACAGTAGTATTGCCAAACAGCATATCAACATTTGATCTGTTGTTGTTGTTTTCAGTATTATAATCAGGGTAGAAAATATTGTTGTTGCTGCTATGAGCTGAATTGTTGGAGCTATTGTTGTTATTTTTGTAGTTGCCACTATTCAAGCCATTGCTGCTGTATTTAAAATCATTGGTGTTGCTGTAGTTACGAGTGTTGTCAATGTTATTGTAGTTGGAGCTGGAGTTAATGCTTTTGTTGTTGCTGGTGTTGTTGTAATTGATGTTGGTGTACCTGGTTTTGCTGTACGATCCATAACCATCATCACTTCCAGTGGATTTGTGAGACATGACATCAACATTGCTGTACCAATTGCTGCTGTTACTGATGTTATTGCTGTTGTTGATGTTATTGCTGCTGCTGATGTTGTTGTATCCAGATCTTGTATTAGCGGCTGGCAGCAGGCTGTTGTATTTTATGGACGAGGCCGTAGAACCAACAGCTGGAGAACTGTCGAATGGATGTATGAATGGATGGATGAATTTATTAACGAGTGAATGAATGAATGAATGAACGAATGAATGAATGAAAGGGTAAGCCAATGAATGACTGGTCATATCAATGGCATAAACATACTAAAAAATTGATAAAAATGATGAAATTCCAAGAATTTAGGATTGCATTAAAAATGTATTAGCAACAAACAAAAATTAATTCACTAAAATCTTGAAAAAATTTTCAAAATAAATAAATGAACCAATAAATATTAATTATAAAAATAGACACATATCTTAATGATTTAGTATGACTAAACATAATGTGTGGCACACAAACACACATACACACACATATACACACAACGCTACACGCACAAACACACACGCACACGAACACACACACACACTACAAACACAAATGCACCTAAAGCTATCTAAAATATGCTTATCTATAAAATATTTGACAAAAATATGTACACTTTTAAACATTTTTTTTTTAAAACCAAAATTTTTACAAAATAAAACATAATTAAAAGTTAGAATTTTAAATAATTATAAAATAAATGATAAAAAATGAAATAATAACCTCTTAGTAGAGTCAAAAAACAGACAGTCCTGCTGCTCCAGCTCAGGACTGAACAGACTGCCGTATCCATAACCACGGGGTCCAAAGAATCTAGTGTAACACAATTGACAGAATAGGTCCCCATCATGTTCACTACACTTTCCAGGTTCTATGGATTTGCTACAGTAACCTGTGCGTGTGTGAGTTTGTGTGGTGCGTGTGTGTGGTATGTTTGAAGTGGGATGAAATTGGATTGATAGATTTTGTCTGTTTGTTGTGTGGTTTTGTCACATCAATTTATCAGATCACTTATTAATTAATTGTTATACATAGGTAATATGTATCAAGCAACAATTTTTAGAGAATTGATCAATTGTAATCTCTAAACTAGCAAAACAAAATTATCAAAGTTGAAAGTTTAAATGATTAAAAAAAAGCAGAACAAAATCTAACTGCATCTAAGACACTGCTTGTGCCACTTTTTCTTTCCAACTCTTACTTCTTCGGCAAAATAAACCTTCTCGCCACACCTGCCACAACAATCTATGTAGTTGCCCACCTGCTTCTCAAGGACATCAGAAGACGAATGACTCCTCTTGATATCATCAGAGCTGCTGTTTTTTGGCTTCAGGGAAACTACAGTGTTAGTTTTGGAGTCAAGATCAGCTGTGGTGGGCAGAACAGCCCCAGCAACAAATCCATACACTTGTGGGCCACAGAGTTTTCTGTAGCAGTTGGTGCAGTAAATCTGATCTCCATTGTGCTGGTTATAGTTTGAAGTGTCCAGAGATTTTTTACAGTTTCCTGAATGTGTGTTTGTTTGTTTGTTTGTATGTGTGTGTGTGTGTGTGTAAGCGTCTGTATGTGTGAGTGTGTGTGAAATCATTTCATTGTATTCTATGAATCAAAATATAATATGGTAATCTTGAATTGAAAAATACATTTTTTTTTATTTGAGTATGACCCTAATTATAAAATGATGTACCAACCACAAGTGAAGCACTTGGAGTGCCATGTTTTGCCAGCTGCCTTCTTCTCCTCATTGAAATAAACTCTCTGCTGGCAGCGTGGACACTTCGGAGCTCCATCAACTTTCAATTCAACTTTATCACACTGATACGAAAGTCCTATTTTAATTTATTATAAAATCAATAAATTGAACTATCGTTGATTGAACAATATATTTTGTAGAAATAACTGGCTAGTCTATCAACCAATTAATTGTTTTGCTTGATCCTTGGCCAATTATAATTATAATACATTGGGAAATTTTAAAAAATCGTTGATAAACTAATTACATCATTACGATTACTAGAAAACTTACTAGTCACAACTGACAACTAAATTGATGACAAATCATAGAGGTGTGATAAAATAAATAACCAATTTTTAATAAAATAATAACCAAACACAATTTCAAAATTTTGACCATAAATTATGAAAAACTACTTAATTATTCAACATATTGGTCATTTAATTATTTATTTACATCACCATTTTGAATATTTAAAGTAAAAAAAATCAATAAACACATGCGCACACACACCCGTTTGTCCAAAGGTAAGTTTTCCCATGTTTCTCCTCTTTCAGCTTTCTTATTCTTAGTTATGAATAATTTTTATAAAACGAATGCCTGCTTTGTTGATCGATGAAACAAATAATAACCACAAAATAACTTTATTTATATACAAATAATCAATTAATTAAACAATCAATTAATCCAATTTAATTTATATTTTTTCAAAAAAAAATCGCGAAAATTGAAATTATTTAAACTCGTCTACGAACGTTAAGCTGGCCGGCGTCAAATCTTTTTTAAATTAAATGCGCAACATTCTAATTTGAAGGTTTAAATACGACCGCATACAACAAAGTCTTCTGTCACCAAATACACACATAATACAAATACATACATGCATTTCATATATGTATATACTTTATACAAATGTAATTTATAATATATACATATACATATATATATATAATGTATAGATTATATAGATGTTGGATGTATGTATATATATATATATATATATATATATATATAGATAGATATATAGATATAAAGTATTGTTACATATTTTTTGTACTACAGACACATACTTTACATTTCATTGTATGACACACACACACACATTCATGGTTAGACACAAACTTACCTTTATTAAATTGTATTAAGGTATGCTGCGTACATTTATTAATTGTCAAGGTATGCGATACACGTGTATTTCGGATGAATATTTATTGGTCATATATGGGTCACATATGGGCTACACACTTCTGATGTGGTTTCTACAATCGTTTATATAATATTAATGATGTAGTTTACGTGAAGACGTGAAAAGGATAATGACGGCAAAGTCTTAGAGATGATACCCACTTATGCAATTACATGTTGTAAAATTTTTATGTGTGATTCGTTGAATGATGTACGATTGATTGATTGATGTATGATCGATTGATTGAGTCATCTTCCTACATGCTAGCTAACACATTTTAAATGAGTTTTATGGTTCAAATGTTTTTAATTTGTTACACATTTTACGGTATAAACGTCTTATGATGAATTAGATTGGAATATAATTGAATTTATAATAAAAATTGAATCAAAATATTACTTATTTATTACGTTTTAGTTGTTTGGTTAATAAAACATAATATATTTTCATTTACCTGTCGTTATAAACGTTAATTTTTATGAACGTGCGTCAAACATATTTTTAAATTAATTCATAGCTTTTTTTCTATAAAATTTAGTAATTCAAAAATATATACAAAAATGCACAACGCATCTTGTAAGATTTTTATTTTCTCAAAAATGAACATAATGAAGAATTTGCGGTGAATTGGAAATAAAAAAATTTGTCAAATTTTTGCAAAGATATCTCCGAGTTTAGAAATGTTTTAAATTTTGTGTATAATGGCCAAATAATTTGTCAAATTTTATAAATACATTAAAAAACGATTAAAAATTAATTTTAAAAAACCTTGTTAAAATATGAGCAATGGTAGATTTCGACAACATTGACGGAAGCTAGGGTGTACAATTTGTTGGGAAGAGAGGGCTAAAGATTGGGAATTGCACTTGACGACATTTTTGTGTGTTTATATAACACTTTTTGGTCAAATTTTTTCCACCTAAAACAGTATTTTCGTGTATTAAAACCATGTTTTACTGTATAAAAAATTATTAAACAATATATATTGGATACATTTTCACAGAAGTGCAACAAAATAACTGTTGGTTAATGGCCCAGGCCAATGGAGGCATTGGCTATGAGTTTGTTTTCCAATTTAACAAAATTAAAAAAAAACTCTCCATACTATATATATATATATATATATATATACGTGTGTGTGTTTGCATGTTTAAACCTGTTCGGCTTACGAGGGGTTAATGTTTACCGCGCCTTTAGTCTTTTGGCGCTGGTAACGTTAAATGGAAATTAGGCAATACATGCTGGCTATTAATGGTGTGTACGTTAATATAAATGCATATCAAACATTCTTTCTATCTACACATCTAAGTTACACACTTGTTGTCACACATAGCAGTAGATTAACTTTAGCGCGTGTGTTTGTTTAACACGCATTTCATCTATCTAGTCGTCTCGTTGATTGTTTCGCTAGCATTCCTAACATAACTTAGAATAAGATTTTTCAGCATATGTATCAATATAAATGTATATATGTATATGTAATTATGTAATTATGTATGCATATTTATGTATGTATGGGTATGTTTGCGTATGCGTATGTCTGAACGTATTTAGGTATATATTTGACGTAATAATATGGTATGGGTCTATATATACATAAGTTGGAATTGAAATAAAGATCGTAAATGAATGAATGAATGAATGAACGAATGAATGAACGAATGAATGAACGAATGAACGAACGAACGAATGAATGAATGAATGAATGAATGAACGAATGAATGAACGAATGAATGAACGAATGAATGAACGAATGAATGAATAAATAATTGAGCGTGAACAAACGAGCATTTAAAATATCGTAACCTACTGTCACGACAGAATTAGTTACAGAAAGTCATCGGTGTCATGTAATTCATTATTATTTATCACCGCATGCCCATAAGAGGAAATTTCTTAATAATTATTATTATTATTATTATTGAAAAAGTAATTTTAGTACTAATACACTACAACAACTACTGCGACTACTATTACTACTACTACTACTACTACTACTAATAATAATAATAATAATATAAGAATAATACTGCTACTACTACTACTACTACTACTACTACTACTAGTACTACTACTACTACTACTAACTACTACTACTACTACTACTACTACTACTACTACTACTACTACTACTAATCATAATAACAATAATAATAATACTGCTACTACTACTACTACTACTACTACTACTACTACTACTACTACTACTACTACTACTACTACTACTACTACTACTACTACTACTACTGCTATTACTACTACTACTCCAACTACAACAACTACTACTACTGCTGCTGCTGTTGCTACTGTCGTTACTGCTCCTGCTGCTGATAATAATAAAAAAATGATAATAAAAATAAAAGCAAAAATAAAAATAATGCATGAGACACGATTTCAAGAAAGTGACTCACACGAGATAAAAATCATCTTAAATGAAATAGCTTAAGTGCGCCAAACATTTCCGCCTAAATGACGAATAACTATAATAAAAATAATAAATGATAATAATAATAAAAATTGATAATAATAATAGATAATAACAACAACAAATATGATAATAAAAATAATAATAATAACAAAAAGTACTTAATTGATTTAAAAATTTTATCGAATAATTAAAAAAATTTACACTTAATTTGCTAAGATGGGGATTTTATTTCATCTATTATATATCTTTTGGTTAACTTATTTGCACATTCATTCGTTCGTTCGTTCATCCGTTCCATTCCACTCATTCATTCATTCGTTCGTTCATTCATTCATTTTTTCTTCAATTCATTCATTCATTTGCGTTTGGGCATGTAAGTATGCATCTTCATCTCAATCAAATCAAACAACAACTGACATATGTAAAATTTTAATATACACTCACAGAGAGAGAAAGAGAGAGAGAAAGAGAGAGAGAGAGAGAATAAGGGAAAGAGAGACAGACAGACAGACACATCCACATAGACACACACATATAAATAAGATTTACCTGTATAAGATGAATTTGTGTGTTCTAAGCTGTTATATGCAATTAACAGTATAACTAGACATCTGTACCTGCTTGTGGTGGTGGGTGATGATATATGAATGTTTGCTTTCTTTTGATTGTATAAAAATATTACTTGCGCTTTTTTCATAAACAATCTCCTTGTACACTTCATGTAGCAATTTTTTCTCATCCTTCATTCTTTACTGTTTCAATTCATTATCGTTTAAGAATAATTTAAAACTCGATTAAAAAGTTACAACTGCATAACTTCAAAGCGTTTTCTAATAGATAGTTTTTTCTATTCAATTGACAACAGATCCTTTTAACACAAAATTTCTTGACTACAAACCTTTGTAAAATTTAAAAATTTGTCGTTTCTATGTGACATGACATTCATGGACTTTTATACTGAAAACTGGAAACTTTTATAGTCAAAATGACGTCATTTCCTCCAACGACAAAAAAAGAAATTCTGATTGGCTGGTTTGATCTGCTCTATTTGATATGTTTTTGTATAACGATTAAGAGTAACGCGATATTTTGGTAGAATCATAATCAACATGGATTTTGCAAGAAAATTAATTTAAGATTTTAAAAAATGTCAAGGTCGGTTTCTTTGGAGTGTTTTGCTAAATCAAAAACATCATGAATATGCTTATGTATGTGGTTATGTGTGTGAGCATGTTAGCATGTATGTATGTGTGAATGTTTGTGTGCATGAAATTAAATTAAAAATTTTTTAAATGACAAGGTCGGCTCCTCCGGTATGTTTTTGTCAAATCAAAAACATCATGTTCGTGATTATGTACGTGCTTATGTATGTGTGAATGTTATCAAGTATGTATGAGAGAAATGAGAAAATGAAGAGTTAAACAAAAATATCATCAACAACAACAACAATCCTAATCAAGCTAAATTGACGTTAAAGAACGATCCTTCGAAACTTTCTGACATTATATAAATCCATTATAAAACAATAGTAATTAATTTTACATATGTACGCACGCAGTTTAAATTTTTCTGGCAAAAAACGAAAAGCAATATTTTCATTTAAATTGACAGAAAATAATTTCAAATTACATAATTCGATTTAGTTATTTGTTTTAGAAACATTTAGTCAAGTATATATTTTGTATTAGTTGGTCGTTAAAACCGGTTAAAACCTATGCAATTTCGTGTAAGCCATAAACAAAGGAAGTCAAATAGCCCAAGCCAATAAATTTCTGGTACCGAATTTTCTTGTGACGAATGATTTTTGGTTTAGATTTACCTTTGCAGTATCGCTTTCATTGTTGTCAATTACGTTTAAAATATAGAAAATGAAATAAAATATATGTTGCGTACGTTAAAAAATGGCTTCGATTAGTGATCCGAACGATTTGGTGTATAAATCATATCTAGAGAATGTCCTTAATTATCGATCGAACCTTTTGAAAACAACAAATAGACACCTGGTGAAATTGAAAAGTTTTCTAAAAAGTGAAGCTGAAATAAAAAATGGCGAAATGCAAAGAATTGCTTTTTTGGAGAGAGAAAGACTGCAGAACGAGAAATTGATGGACGATTGTAGGGCGGCGTTAGGAGAGAAAGATATGAAACTTGAAGATTATGAAGAGAGTTTGATGGTGTGTAAAAGTGAACTTACTGAGCTGGCTCGAAATCACCAAACTGTGGTAAAAGAATTGAACATTTTAAAAAATAAATTAAATTTTGACGCCAAACTTTACAAGCACTGCATCGAGGTGAGTGAGCAGAAGTTAGTGGACGCCTTGAATGAAAATGGCAGATTAGAAAGAGAACTAAGCAAGCGAAATGACCTTATTGAAACATTATCCTCAGATAATGCCATCATGAAGAATATCTACGATAATGTAAAGATTGAAAATGAAAAGTTAGCCTCAGCCAACAGTAAACTAACTTTAGAAAAAGATGGATTACTGTTAGAATTGAAATCATTAAACGATTCAAACCTTAAAATTAAAATAAGTTCCGAATTAAAAAAAGTTCAAAGTTCACAATTGTCGGAATTGAAAGATGTACAGAACAGTTTGGCAGCTTTACAAGAAGAAAAAAAGCATCTCAACATGAAAATTTCCAACTACAAAAAGACTATAAACTTTTTAAGAGATCAAAGAAAGACTTGTTTGTGCACAAGCAACACAAAAGCTAATGTCAAAGCAACACCCAACCAGAGTCCCAAACAGGCAGATAAAGAATTAGAAAGTAAGTTGGAGAATGAAGCTATATTGTTATCATCATTCAAAGAGAAATTAAGAGTGCAGGAAATGCAGAATTCCGAATTACTATTCCAATTACTGAATCTTGAAAATAAGGTTTCTACTTTAGAGAGTAATTTGAATGAAAAAGAAACAAAACTGAATGAAGTTACTAGAGAAAAGTCACTGTTGCTCGTTGAGCTTGACCTCACATTCCTACTTGCCAGCAATACATTCACTAACTTTCAAAACGTCATCAATGACATATGCAATTATACGAAAATTAAATTTGATGATTCAATTTACAAACATATCAAAGACAACTCTGGCAGTAACATGACATTAGTGAACAGCATAAAGGATAAACTAAGAAGGATGGATTTATTAGTAACATACCTAAAACAAAATTTTGACAAATTGCAATCAGAAGTTGCTGAAAAATCTCATGGCCCCGTCAAGCGCAAATTAAATCCTTCCCCAACTAAATCAATAGAACAATATTTAATTAGGACACCACCAAAAATGACGAGTATTAGTGCCAATAACTTAAGTAGCTCACAGAATTTCGATATTTGCCTTACCCTGGTGCCCTCCACATCATCCATTAATGAGGAGGACATCAGCAGAACCCAGCCGAGCAGTACCACTGTGCAAAACAATACAGGTATCTATACATTATTTTCTATTTATTTATGATTATATTTTGATATTTATATCTTAATTAATGCTTATTATTAATTGTTGTCTTGTAATTTTAAAAAATTTTCAGCAAATCCAAGAAAAAACTGTAGAGCCAAATTATTTCCTGCTAACAGTAAATCAGTAAACAGGTTGATAGTTATATTTTGGTGCAGCCATCTTCAATAAACTTCTATTTAGACTATTACTCATTTACTGACTACATCATATTGCTTCATAATTGTTATCCATTTTATATTTCCAAATTTCTACCAAATGTTTATTCACACAGGGATATTAATTATTTGCAATTTAATTTTACCAGCTGCAGTTACTACCAAATTTTGTATAAGAATTAAACTATAGTACTCAAATTTATAGTTAATTAGCCTGGTAGCTGTATATATTCGCCCACAATGAATTTGTGACTTCATTGCTAATCTTGCTACCAAGTTATGATTTTATTTAATGGGAAGAAATATGATAGGACAATTCTAGTCTAAAATTTTGTGGCATTTATATATATATATATTCTGCAATTTATAAAGTAGATTTTTGTTAGCAATTCTCACTTTTAGTTATAATTATTTTATTTATGTTTATTAATTTATTTTAATACAATAATTATTTCAATTTATTTTTTTCTATAGTCCTCAGATATAGTCATTGAGAAGGAGAAAAATTGTAAAATTCAATGATGGTTGGTGCATTTCCTCCATTGAAAAGTCTTCTTTAACAGTCTTTATCATCATCTTTATCATCATCGTCATTATTATCGTTGTATTATTTCTATTTATTTTATTCTTCAATTATTTATACATAGCACTACCCAATGTTTAAAATTCATGTATACATGGCCTTATGTGCCTATGCATGTTTTATATATACATATAATATATATATATATATATATATATATATATATATGTATGTATGTATATTATTATTATTATTATCAGGACATTTATACAGCGCCAATTAAATTATTATCTCAAAGGCGTGTGTATATATATATACATGTGTATAGTGTATATATATATATGTATTGAATTGAAAATATCTTTTATTCAGCAAAATATGTATGTATGTATGTATGTAAGTATGTATGATATGTATGTATGAATGTATGTATGTATTTATGTATGTATGTATTTATGTATGTATGTATTTATGTATGTATGTATGTATGTGTGTATGTATGTATGTATATATGTATTTATGTATGTATGTATGTATGTATGTATGAACCCATAATTGATTAGAACTATAGGGAAGTAATAATCATATCCGGGTTCAGCTTTAATCTATGTTAAACGCTTCGCACAGACAGGTATTTTAACGCTCCATCCAAAATACAGAAAGAATTATATTTTTGAAGTAAAATAGAAAAGGATTACTTTACATAACTCTTATGTAATGGGTCACCCGATACTTCTACAATCCTGCTACAGAGTTCATTCAGAAAACTCTGAGTCTGAGCATCGGTTGGACCAAAGGTCTCAATGCAGACTCGCTGAAAAATTTTGCTTTCTGCAAGAGCCGCATATTTTGAATTTTTAAAGTCTGTAGCTCTTAAGGCAGCGGCACCCGCCTCCTGTGAGGTAAGATTAATGTACCTTTCAGCCATGGTGTGAGGGAACGTAACATCCCAAGCAAGGGAACGTCTTTGCACCCACGGTGAAATAGTATATCCATCGGGTATGTATGTATGTATGTATGTATGTATGTATGTATGTATGTATGTATGTATGTATGTATGTATGTATGTATGTGTGTATGTATGTATGTGTGTATGTAGTCTTGATTTTAAAAACTGCAAACAATGATAATATTACATAATTTGTTGTTTTTTTTCTGATTTCTTTCGTGTTAATTGTCATGAAGATTTTAGTTATATACATTATATTAAATGGACTGCGATTTTAATTCAATTTTCAATATTTTTATCTACTGCACAGTGTAAATCTTTGTATTGTTGACGTCATTTTGTACTTATAAATCGTTACTCGTTCGCTGTACCTACTTATGTACAGTGAGTGTAGGTTGTATTTTAATGTATTGTACTGTACTTTTGTACTGTACTGTATTGTACTGTTGTATTTTTTGTTGACTTTTATGATTATTTGGTTCAGATTTGTGTATTTGTTTATTTCTGTATATTGTTATTAGTATTATTGTTGACATTTAATATTTTAATTGAATGGTTTTGCGTGGATTTGAATTGATAGTATTGCGTAGTACCGAAATACGCAATGGTGATATTAAGGTATAGAGTTTTATATACCTACGTATGGAGTTTACGTGCGTGACGTACGCTGGTGGAGTTACATCTGATAGAGATGATAACATTAAAAGTGATGAAGTCATACGTAATTGTTAATTGAATGAAACAGAAATTGGTGAATTGTAAACCCTTTTGAAGACCTCATTTAAAGTTGCGAAATTTCTCAAAAAGTGTTTCATTTATTTTAATTACAAATGCTTTGTAGATGCTTTTACATTCGCGTAAACCACCACAAAGTCTACAACATATGAAATAAAAATCGCGAATGATCGCAAAAAAATGGCATTACAGTGTCTAAGTATCTAGAATAAACTGTTTCGTCTTATATAACGACTTTTGTACATTGATTCAGAGTGTGACTGTGTTTTGGCACCGTGGATTTTAGCCACGTTAATTGAAACTTCTACACTGGGGGTCTGGTAAAGACATTTTGTCCTGTCGTTGTCTACCGGTATCTATTTCGTTTGTTTAATTAATACTAAGACACCAAATAAAAAGCTTTTTATTAATGATTGTTCAAAAGCATTTTAAAGGTAAACATTACGACGACGACAAATTGTTTATATATTTTTTTTATCTGCCATCTAAAAACAGCAATGTTTGTTTTTATTAATAATATTTAATATAAAAAGCATTAATAAATTTATTTTTATAAAAATCCTTCAGAAACATTTTCTCAATTTTATTTTGCGTTCTTAGGCATTAGCTTTGATGAATGTGATCAAGGCATGTACGAACTCTTGAAAACTGACCTTACCGTCGTTGTTTTGATCACATTTGGCGATCAACTCCTCAATCTTTCCGGCTGGGACATCAACGTTGTTGTCGCTGGCAAGTTTTTTCAGGTCACTGGACGTAATGTAACCGCTGCCGTCAGCGTCCATTACGTGGAAAGCTGCCACCAGTAGAATGGCTCTGCGAATTTTTGATTCTTTTGTTATTTTTTAACATTTAAATTCTGAAAAATAAGTTTGTCATATTTGTCAATAGTTAAATAAACTTGCTAAAAAGAAAGATGATATTGATCAATAAATTGTTGATAGAGTGAGAATGGGAAATGAGATCATGCCTAACATTTCTTCTTAATTCATTTGAAAGTTCGACTCACGCTTTGATGATTGGAAGAGCAATGGCACAACCGTTAACAAATTTTTCAAATGTTATTTTTCCGGTACCGTCTGGGTCACATTTGGTCAGAATTTCCTGTTGAATTGTTTTGTTATTATTAAATAATATCAAATTAAAAAAATCTTTGAAGCATTCTCGACGTTCTCAAGGAATCGTTTTAAAATCGAAAGATATCTTGAAGCAATCTAACTCTCATGTAATATTTCATGAAAAGGCTTGAAACTCTACAAATTAAAATTTCTTATCTATGATATTGACAAAATAATAAAAAAATTATCAAAAAAAACGTTAGCTCTGGCTTCCGAAATATCCTTCCCGAATCTTGCTAGTAAATCTTTCAACTCTTTCCCCGTTATGAAACCATCTCTATTTTTGTCGATTTTGTTGAATGCCACCTGCAAACGGGTTCTTTCCTCTGCAGTAAAACAAGCCATTAGGTCAGTTTTTTTAAATTCTGAAACTATAAATCGACATCAAAATGTTCAACTGCTAAATGTGTAAAAGAGAGCGAACTTTTATACAAGACTGCAAGCAAATCAGGTAAAACTGCGAATATTCAAATGTTTGCTAAGCAGACAGAGTAATACCAAACAAAACTATAGCATACATACAATGTGAAACATTGTAAGAGAAGATTTGTATTGTGTGGGCCGTATCAACAGGATTCTCCTATCGCACTTGAGATAAAACAGCGTTTTGAAAGCGTAATTTGTTCTATCATTGCCAGACAAAGATCGTCATATTCTAATTCTCTGTGTATAAATTTTTTTGGACTGTTGGCATTTAGTATCTCTAAAAAAAATATTTAAAAATTTACCTACACTAACCGTTGAAGTTTTGGTTTTGAAGGTGAAAGTGGTAGAACGATTTTACAGAATTGGCTGGGCTGGAAACGTCGAATTCGATAAAACTGACTAAAAACAGTAGAAGAATTTGAGAATAGACGAAAAAGGTGCTATTGGCCTTAACATTACTTTGAGGAGTTGATCAATTAATCAATTTATAAAAATAGAATTCGTTATTTCATTTGCTTGCATAAAACACGGCTGTCTCTCATTGCCACCTATCTTTATCAACTGTTTAAATTTGTCATCATTATTATTTGATGGCTTATTTACACAGCCACAATTAAAGATAAACAAAAAAAGTTTTATGACATAATTGAAAAAAAAGGCACACATCTGTCACAAGACATTAACAGTTTATGATGCATTGAAGTGTTACAGACAAGTTTTTGAGAACATTCATTTTCACTTACTATTATCAATTTGCGTTCTAGATTTAAAACATATTAAATAATTTCCTATTTTAAAGACTTAATTGCCAGTTAATTCCAATAATCATTGTAATTATAGAATTTGCAACTAAATGTTTGCAATCAATCAAACTCATTATGTTCTGATTTTTACTAGAACTTTTGACAAAATCAAGTTTTAAACCATGAATTTTGTTAGATAAAGCTTTTCAGTTGATTATTTAGATATTTATAATATTATAAATGCAGTTATTTATTGGTAGAACTTTAAAAACCAACAAAATTTTTGAGAAATAAATCAAAGCTAGATGAAAATTTAATTGCGCCTGAATTCAAATTCAACAAGCAAAACGCGCTCTTGCAAAGTAAACGTATTTTAATTTGTTTAAATTGCCACATTATTGTTGATTTATTTTGTTACAAATTTTAAAAATATTTCTTGATTTTCTTTCAGGTTTGTCAGTTAGATTTAACAAAAATGGATTCAAAGTTCATTTTTTAAAGAAAATTAATAATATATTTGCCGCTTTTTAATGTGTTTTACGTTCAGTTTCAAATTTTGCAGTTTAATTTCATGTGCAAGTTTGTCACTTGGGTGTGTAATGTAAATTTAATAATTAATTTTAATTTTTGATTTTTGAATTAATTTAAATTCTCGTAATAGTTTCAACTGTTTTTTGATTATAGATTGCAATAATATTTTTTTTTCAAATTAAACTTTACAAATTTTTTTTGTAATTTTTGAATAAAATAAGAAGAGAGGTAGTGAAGATGAGTTCAACTGCTAACTTCTACACATGGAAGGTGAACATTTTTAAAAAAAATGTTCATTTCATGTTCTGTAAATTTTAATATTTATTAAATAATTAGATAAAACTTTTTATATATAATACAATGCATGTATTTTTTTTTTATATCTGAATTAACTTTCCAAATCATTTTAAAAATAAACTGAAACTTTGCTTTTGGTTTTGTATTTTGTACTAATAATTTGTTATTTATATATTAGATATGTATATATATGTTAATATATGTCAGCCAATAATAAACAAAAGTATTTAACAATGTTTTTTGCAAAAAAAAGTTTATAATTTTTTGTATAAAAGGAGGTGAGTTCTCCAGTAAAAGACCCAGCTATTTTGGCATTCCAGAGATCTAACTACCAGATGAAAACATCAGAGCAGTCTTCTATGACCCAGCCCCCAAGATCTTTCAAGAATAACAACAACTCTGCACAGTTTCCTTCACCAAGGGAGATTGGTCTCATCGAAAAATTACTGGTCTTTAATTAATCTAATTAATCAGTCCAGTTAATTAATTAATCTTTTAATTGAGTAGATCATTTAAAATGTAATCTAAATAATTTCTAAATTGAACAATCTAATTGATCAATCCAGTGAATTAATTGATTGCTTTCATCATTTAGCTATCATATGAATAGTTCAGGTCAAATAACTTGATTTATACCATTTTTTACTTAATATTGATGAGTTAAATTGCAAATATAAAACCGAAAAAATATTTATTTAGAAAAAAAAGCCAGACTAGTTTAAATAAATTATAGTGAACGTTTTTTCATTTCGAGTGCTTAACTAGGTGATATAGTATGAATTACACATACATGAGTATGTAATCCCCATCGTC